CATACAGATTTATATTCTTTCTTTTCACCACCAGGCAACAATGGAAGTAGCTTTCCAAAACCACAACCAATATTTCCTTGACCCAAGGTAATATAGCTCTCCATGTAGATCATCATAACAATAGCTACAATCACAAAAACAGAGCAACTCTGACTTTTAACTTAAAAGATGAACTACTATAACAACTTCAATCTCACAGTTTTTTTTAATGATATTTGGGTAGGAAACATTATGATTGAAATCTTTGTCTTAAAAAAAATCATCAAGACAAACGTCATCTCCCCCTTTTAGCCATGAATATGGCACATTAACTTAGATTTTTCTGGGGGAGGCAGTCAAGGCATCTATGTTCATTTTAATATTCATGTATTTAATAAAACTATCTTGGCAAAAATGGTCCTTAGCCCAAAAAATAAGGGCTGAATCTGAAACTCATCCTCCCACCCTATAGACAAGTGAAAACACGTGTTTTTCACCAGTCACTCACTTAGTTTATGTTATACAGAAAACTGACAAATTAGCAGTTGAGGAACAGAATTCTCAATTGGCACTGGGCACTGAATTCACTGGATACTGTGAATTCCTTAGGAGTAGAAGCATTTGTTTATCATCACATAGATGACAATCCTGTAGGTATACCATACACTCATTATGAATAGAATATTTCTTCAACAATGGTCAAAGCAGCTCAGAAATTCACATACTTATGATACATACTTTGAAATTGTGTGTTGTAAAAGAAAGACATGTAACAATGAACTAAGACTTTTGTTCTGAGAACAGAATTCTAACACCAAAGACAAGTAAAGCACTTGCAGACAGTTTTCTCTGATGTTTTGCTTAGAGAAGGGATACAAAAATGCTATGCCTGCACTTATTTCTCATAAAAACTCTATGAGGTTGGTTCACTCCTTTTGCAGATAAGATACCTGAAGTTCACTGAGGTGAATAAATTTGTCTAACTTATAAAGGGGTGGAATTCCAACACAGGGATTTCATCATTATGTCATATTTGCTCCCGCTAACTTGTAAGTAGAAATAAGCCTAATCATGACCAGATAAAGAGTACACCCAGCATAAAGTCTACCCATCGCCTTTAAAACTGCCTTCCTTATATCTCAGTATATTAGCTTTCTCATTGCTCTGCCTCTCCTTTCCTTCCCCATCTAGGGTGAATCAACAAATTTCCTTGACTCAGCCCTCTACACACCCTAGTCATCATTCTGCTTTTCCCAGTGTTGCTGTCAGCATGCCCCTCCAGGCTTTCATCACTTCAGAGCAAGCTTATGAGTAACTTTCACACTGGCCTCTGGCGTGCCATTCCACAGGTTAATCTTTCTGGAATGCTTTTCACATCACTCTGTGTAAAATCTTCAACGAGTTTCTCCATCTTCCCTGGCACCATTTCTCAAAATAGAGCACTGGAATTAAATGGAGAGTTAGAAAATATGTTGATACCTCAGCCTGAATGCCATTGGAACATATTCTTTGAAGACAGAAACCAGAAATCCGCATTTTGGCTAGTTCGCTGGGTGATTCCTTGAAGCCCTAGAACAAAAAGCTCCCACATTCCAAGTCTGGTTTGATCCCTGGCTCCAGTCTTCTCAGCTTCCCACTGTCCTGGTCCACAGACTGTTCCACCTTTCTGTTTTTATTCAGGTGGCCTGCCACTGCGCCCATCATCTAACCCACATACTTTCTGAGTTCAAATCCGTGTCCTTCATGCAGCCACTCCACAAACCATATTGTTTCTTAGTATTCTAGGTAAGTGAGCATCCACATCACATTCTTAGACGGCAACAGAGAAAACAGAATACACACTCACCTGTCTCTCTGAATCATGGACAGTTAACATTCCTCCTCAGTGACTCATAATGGCTGATGTGAACAGATTATTGAAAACTGCAGGAGTGCACATCTATGCTGACATGAAGGTCACCGTCTCCTCCCTGAGTATGTGAGGTTATTTCTCATCTACAAAAACTCTGCTCAGTACTTTTCTGGTTCTCAGGTTCACTATGATGCTGGTCAGTAAAGCTGATAAGTAAGCTAATTAAAATTGCTGTACTAAGAAAGAATCCATAGGGCACTGGCAAAAATTCCAAGAAATAAAAAGCCCAGATTGAAACAGGGTTTTGTGGCACAGATTGTGTTGGATGCTGTTGTCCTCCATTTAGTTCAAGATTCAAAGCTCTTCTCTAGGGGACTGAGATAGCTCTAAAGCTATTGGAGGAAATGGCTGTCAACATAAAATCTTCTTTAAAAAGTTTTGATATGTAGGTGTTTTCAAAAAGTAAATATAATCACATCAGAAATTATCCAAACATTTCTACAAAGAAATATATTATATCTTTGCAGAGTCTAAACACCATCTCAACATGATATAGCTATATTTAGATTTGGATTATTCTAACTTAACTTGGAAAAAAGCCACAGCCAGAGTAAAAATGTGATTTTAGAAATCTAGGCTGGGCATGGTGGCTCATGCCTGTAATCCCAGCACTTTGGGAGGACTGCTAGAGCCCAGGAGTTCGGGACAAGCCTGAGCAATATAGCAAGATCTTGTCTCTACAAAAAAAATTAAAAAGTTAGCCAGATGTGGCAGTGTACACCTGTAGTCCCAGCTACTAGGGAAGCTTAGGTAGAAGAATCACCTGAACCTAGGTGTTGGAGGCTGCAGTGAGCTGTGATCATGTCATTGCACTCCATTCTGGGTGACAGAGTGAGAACCCCCAACTCAAAGAACAAAATCCAAACAAACAAAAGAAATCTAAATGACTTAAGCATAACAACCAGATAACATTAATCAACATAATGTTATATATTAAAAATGAAAAATACAAACACTAAATTATATAAGGGTAGTCGAGATAGATTTATTTATTTTTGATTGCACTTTCACAGAACATCTTTAATATCTATGCCACAACCCTTGGAGGTAGTAATTACAACATAAGAGGATAAAAATAAGAGAGGCATAATGACTCATCAGTGACATAATTCAAGCATTAAGGCCAGAAATGGAACCTGGATCTGTGTGATGATGTTAAAGTCAACGCTCTCGGAGATGTCATGTCCCAAAACACACATTCACAGACAAACATAAAACAGAAGTTTTGAAATGTGGATGCCCTATAGCTTACATGTCACAATGTTGCTCTCAGAACATTTTATGTCTAATTATCTGCATAAATAACTTACTGTGTATAACAAGCATCAAAGTTAGAATGGTGCAGGTATTTTTATATAACAGCCTTCTCAGTAGCCCAGTTATTTTCCTCAGATTTTGAAAACCTAATGAATAAATTGATCCTCAGAGAAATTCAGCCAGCAAGTCACAGAACAGATTCAAACTGTCTAATTCCAGAGCCCAAATACTTAGCCATGTTTACTTTTCTCATATCTTTATTTCATAGCACTTAATTCATTTTGATGTATACACTGAGATGTCTTCCCATTAAGTGGCAACATCTTAATGGGACTCTGCCATATTAAACTTAAGATCTTGAAATTCTAGTGTACAATATGGCATTTGGGAGATTTACAGCAGAGATAATGACAACACAACTGTAGCTAACACATGTTATTTCAGTGATTGCTGAAATGTTAAATAACGTGCGTCGGGTGGTATCTCCATGCCCTCCATTCTTCCCCTTCTTGCCAACAATACCTTTTGCCTCCTCAGATCCATGCTGAAACCAAATTCAATTGCTATAACTGTGGACATGAGCGTCATCACGTGGCGACACATTCCTTCCAAGCAGGGAAGATGGAGAGTCTGTCGATCAAGCCTTCAACCTTACTCTTCAGTTTACGATCAATTATAGACAATTCCAGTCTTCCAATCCTTCTGCAGACTTCTTCCCTTCACCTGGATGGTCTTTTCTTGTTAATTTATTATTCAATTCTCATTATAAAAATCTTAGAATTATAAAATCTAACTTCAACCTTCTCTGAGCCATAAGGGGATATAATTTCCTCACTTACCTTGACAAAGGAAGAAAATATGACAAGCATAAAATAATGAAAAGATCATCATGAGAAGAAACTAGAACCCAGATATGTGCTCATTCACGGGCTCTGTCTGAAATATTGAATCTTTAAAACTGAGTATTGGCTTCCACGGTACTTCACCTCCTTTGCTGTCCCACTCCCAACACTATTCTTTACTGGTTTTATTGTTATTAAGTTTATGGTCATAATTTTACCTTTTATGAATTTGTCAATGTTTTCTGAAATCTTTAAAACATCTTCCTTTTGGGCAACCCATATGCTCTTTCTAAGTGTATTTTTTCCCTTCTACTACTCTTAAATATAAGTTCCGAGTATTCCAGCCAAAGAATTATAGTCAATCTCACCCCAAAACAATATGAATATTCTCCCCTCCCCGTAGCCTTTGCTATCTCCCATTTGCATTGGGTACTGCTGTGTAGCTCTTGGCAATATTCTGATGCACATCCAAGGAGTGAATATAGGAAAGACACCAGACATTATTTGAGGATTTAGATAAAGATCTCAAAAAATAATAAAAATGCATCTTAAGTTTAAAGGTAGTTTCCAAAATAGAAATTCCAGCCACCAGAGTAGAATTTGAAATAGAGAAATAAATTCGGTGATCTTTGTTTTGAAGTGACAAAGGTTGCTTCAAAAAAAAAGTAAAAGTACAAGAAAATATTCTAACTTTATTGCAAGAGATTTTGCCACAGGATCCCTTCTTAAGCCTGGAACCGTACAACTCTCCAGTGGAATTTATGTCACTTATAAAATTCAGCATTCACGTTACTTCATTTCAGAAATGCTGTCTCCATAAAAGTTGCAAAAAGAGATTTAAGGGAAATTATCCTTGCCTGTTAAGTAAAGAGAGGTGTGTAAATGGCACTGTGTCCTTGACTAGACTCAGTGAAATTCACTCTTTATTTTATACACAAAAATATGACAAAGAGCAAATGGATGACCTAGCTCAAAGGTGTTCCTTTTTAAATAATACCACTGCAGCTAACATCTCTGCAAATGGAAAGCAACAACAACAAAGCCAGCTGGGTGCTGCAGCATGAGGTGATACATAAATAGATGCTCCATCAAGAGAACACGAGGAGAGGCAGGGAGGAGCCAGTTCCTGGCGCCGCAGTGCTGGCAAGGCCGCCAGACTCCAGATGGAGCGGGAAGGCGCGGGAGCCAGGGCGCGCGAGGGGCACCGGCCGCCCATCTGCCGTCCTCACGGCTCCCGAAGACCGCGCTGGGCGAGAACCTGAACCGCACAGCAAGCACCGAAGGACAAAGCACACGCGCACTTGGGTCTGCCTCCCACGTATGACGCAACGCCATGGTTTAGTGTCTACATGTAGGAGTGTCACCACTTCACCATGACACTGAGATCGTGATGTCAAGCCTGAGACACCTTCATAAGACAACTACTTTCAACAGCTGATTCTGAGCTTCGTTTTGACTTTGTCTATAGACATTTTATGTGATTGAAAGATCTTCCAAAAAAATAGAGTGAATTCACCAGCATTACAATTGAGTAAGTACAAATAAGTGAAGTTGGAAATTTAAGTAAAAATGTCAGCAATGAAATTTATTTAAGACCTCAAGTTTTTATTTTTCCTTTTTGAACTCATTCTTACCTATTCAACTTTTAATAGGGGACATTTTACTATAATTTTGGGGAAAATGATATTCTTTCTTCTAAAGTTTTGAAAATTTTTGCCTTCTGAAAATATTGATTTCCTCCCCTGAGATGTAAGTTTATAAAGAGCTAACAGAGATTTTGACAGAGCAATTTTCTTGTGCCTTTCACTGACTGCTAACATGTCAGATCATGAAAACAGGAACCATGTACGTCCTCAGAAGGCACTCAATGTCCTAGAACTATAGTCCCTCATTTCTGTATTGATTTGTATTTTCAAACCCTTCAATCCATCCACTCTCATCAATCTTCATAATAAATCTATGAGACTAACAGGAAATTTTTAAGTGAGGGTCCCCTGGTCATAAACTGATGAGCACTATCTAAAATCCAGCTTTTAGTTCTTTGCCCACTTCACTCCCAAATTATTCAAATCACTGATAAAAATATTTAAGTTAATGCACAATTTAGCACAATTTAGAATTCACTCCCAGGCAAGTTTTCTTCAAAACCAATATACAGTATCACTTAAATGTTCTGAATGTTGCACGAATTTTTTTTAAAGTTATACCTGATCCGTAAGATTCCAGAATTTTAATAAGACAAGATTATGGTCAAGTAACTATAAGTACTATAGAAGTTTAGTATAATCCTTTGGTATTTTTCATCTTTAGAATAGCATCATTTCACATCTTCTATGACTTGGCCAAATGAGAGCAAGAAATTCGCCATTTTGAATCTTATAAGAAATATTGTACTCCAACTACTGTTTGTAACTTCAAAAAGTCAACCTTCTATCTCTACCTCTTCAAAGCTACATAGACATAAAATACAATGGAGTAATTGTTCAGGCTTACAACAAAAGTGTAAAAATAAGTACAAAGCTACACGAAGTATGGTACAAAGTAGATTAACAGTGCTCTAGCACTGTGCTCTTTTAAGATCAAAACATTGCTATAGAAGGAAAGAAAACATATCAACAGCTAAAACTAAGCGAACCTGGTAGAAATGGATACATGATTACAAGAGAGTTGTGGAATATAGCAAGATGCTGTCATCTGTCATCTCAGGAAACTACTTCACTCCAAGACAGGATACAGTGGCTGAGTAGGAAGCTTAAGGAATCATTCAGTCCTAGGAAAACTGTCATTGCCATCAGTGCCACCAAAACCTGAAGTCATACACACATTAGTCAAAATTCTCCTCCACATACGTACTGGGTAACACACACGATGTATCTCTCCCTTTTATACATGGCATGCGACATGCAGTCCTCTTGAGACATCTTCTCTTCTTCAGGGATCACCAGACCTTTTGAAAGTAACCACTCACTACATACACTGTGGATGTCATTCACTGTCTATCTGAGAAACAGTAACTGAGACTAACTGTGTATGGGCCAGCAGTGACCAAGAGAGACCTTTTGGAAGGGATCCATTCCTCCAGCAAGTTCAATCTGGGACTAATTCCCTTCTGAGAACTGAGCCTCTGTCTTTCCAGGCCTGATCTGCCTGATTCTGTTCACTCGAATAGCTTGCCCTAAATCCCAACCTTCTTGCACCTAAAGTTTTCTTTCCTGGAAAAACAGTAACCAGTAATTTGATATCTTAAAAGATGTATGCTATTCAGGTGATCATTTCTTCTTGGATGAGCTTTTATAGTTTGTGTCTTCCAAGGAATTGTCTATTCATCTAAGCTGTCAAATTTATGTGCATAGAACTGCATAGAACTTTCATAGTTTTCCATTTTAGTGATAGGATCAGTATCACATCTGCTCTTTTCATTTCTGATGTTCACAACTATGTGTTCTTTGTCTCTTACTTGGTCAATCTGGCTAGAAGTTTTGAGTTCCACTGATTTTTCTCTAATGCTGTTTCTTTTAAGTTTAAGTGACTTTCGTCCTTTTTCTTGCCTTAGGTTTTCCATTCCTTTTCTATATTCTGAAGGTAGAAGCTCAGATTATTGTTCTGAGAACCTTTTTAATATGAATTTTTTTTTTTTTTTTTTTTGAGTCAGAGTCTCACTCTATCGCCCAGACTGGAGTGCAGTGGCCGCTCCTGGCCACCGCAGCCTCAACCTGCTGGGCTCCGGAAATCCTTCCGCCTTAGCCTTCCAAGTAGCTGAAATTACAGGAGCGCATTAACACGCCTGGCTAATTTTTTGATTTATTGTAGAGATGAGGTATCCCCAAGTTGCCCAGGCGGGTCTCGAACCCGTGGGCTCAGGCAATCCATTCACCTCAGTCTCCCACGGCACAGGATTACAGGCTGAGCCACCAAGCCCGGCTTAATATAAAAATTTAATGCTACAAGTTTTCCCCTAAAAATTGTTTCTGCAAGATCACAAATATTTGATGTTGCATATTTTATTTCCTTTCAGTTAAAAATATTTTACAAATTTCTTTGATTCTTTTTTAACCACTGAAATATTTATTGGTCTGTTATTTACATTATTTAATATTTCCAAAATTTGGAATTTTCCATATATCCTTCTGTTATCAACGTGTACTTTAATTGTGTTATATTCAAAGAATGTAATTTAAATAATTTAAATTTTTTAATCCGATAAGATTGGTTTTTGCCTCACAATGTGGTCTATCTTGGTGAATGTACCACATATACTTGAAAAGAATGTGCATTCTGCTGTTGGGTAAAATGTTCTATAAATGTGAACTAGGTCAAGTTGACTGATGATGCTGCTCAAGTTTTATGTGTGTATTTGCTCATTCCTGTTTATTTGTTCTCTCAACCAATGACAAAAGAATGCTGCAGTCTCCAAATATAGTTGTGGATTTCTCTTTTTCTCCTTTCAGCTTTTGCTTCATATGCTGTGAAGATTTGTTGGCGGCAGAAAACTGCACAAATTGTTATGTCTTGGTAAGTGGACCCTTTTATCATTGTATAATATCCTTCTTTGTCGCCTGTAACTTTCTTTGTTCTGAAGTCTGCTTTATTTGATAATATTGCCACTTTAGCTTTTGTTTTAATTTGAGTTTGCATGGTATAAATTTTTCTATCCATTTATTTTTATCCTACTAATATAACTATGTTTCAAGTGACAGCATGTAGCTGGCCCTTTCTTTTCTATCCAATCTGATAATCTCTGCCTTTATATGGTATGGTTAGATCACTTACATTTAATGTGGTTGATGATAGGTTTGGATTTATGCTTGCCATTTTACACTATATTATTACTTTTCTACTTGTCCTTTATGTTTCATGGCATTTATTGTTGTTATTGTTTTAACCACTGCTATAGCAAATTTGAAGAGTGGCTTAAAACAACTTCCATTTATTATGTAATAGTAATAATTTGTTCTCTCAATCAATGACAAAAGAATGTTGCAGTCTCCAAATATAGTTGTGGATTTCTCTTTTTCTCTTTTCAGTTCTTGCTTTATATACACACACAGTGTGGTTCAGCTAGTACCTCTGTTTAAAGTTTCATAGTGCTGAAATTAAGCTGTCAGTGAGGCTGCACTGCTTTGTGAAGGTATTGGGGAAGAATCAGCTTCTAATCTTATTGAAGTCACTGGAAAAATTCATTTCCCGGCATCTGTAGAATTGAGATCCCTGCTTCTTCATTGGCTGTTAGCCTGGAACATTTATCAGTTCCTAAATACTACATGCATCTATCTTACCTTGTCCTCCTGTAACAGTGGGCTGGGTCCTTCTGCTTCCAGTCTCTCTTACTTCCCCTTTTGCTGACTCTTTCTAACTCTTCTCCTTGCTCTTCTATTTCTATAAGGACTCATATAATTACACTGGGTCCATCCAGATAATCCAGGATGATCTCCCTATTTTAAGATCAGATGATTACATCTTAATTACATCTGCAAAGTCCCTTCACAGCTGTACCTGGATTAGTACTCTACTGAGTGTAACCAGGAGAACGAAGTTTGAGGGAACATCTTTAGAATTATGTCTACCACTGTCTGCCCTCTGTCCTCCAAAGATTCAAGTCCTTCCCAAATGCAAAATACACTCACACTCCTTCCAGTACTCCCAAGAGTCTTGCTATGTTTTGAATGTTTGTCCCCTCCAAATCTTGTTAAAACTTAATCCTTGGTATGACAGTATTGAGAGGTGGGCTTTTTAAGAGGTGATCTGGTAATGAGGGCTCTGTTCTCATGAATGGGATAATCCATTCATGGATTCCTGACTTAGTGGCTTTCACAGGAGTGGGACTGTTAAACGTAAAGGAAGCAAGACCTGAACTAGAATGCACAACCTTCTCACCATGTGATGCCTTCTGCTGCCTTGGGACTCTGCAGAGAGTCTCCAGTAGCAAGAAGGCCCTTGTCAGATGCAGCTCCTAAACCGTGGACTTCTCAGTCCCCGTAACTATAAGAAACAATTTGTTTTCTTTATAAATTAGCAATTTTCAGGTATTCTGTTATAAGCAACATAAAACAAACTAAGACAAGTCTCATCTTATTACAGCATTAACTCAAAGCATAAAAATTTCATCTAAACCTCAAATGCTCCAAAATCTCTCCTCAAAATCAAGTTTAAATGAGTAATCCATTAAACTTAACTCCTGGGAATAACTTCTCTTCATCTGTAGACCTGTAAAATTAAAGACACACATTATCTGCTCCCAAAACACAATTGTGAGACATTCATGGGATGTACTTATAAACATGCCAGTTTCAATAGAGGAACAATGGAAGGTAGCATAAGGACACAGGTACAACATA